TCCGCCCTGCTGCGGTGGCCACGCCATAAATCAGATTATTCATCTGACTGACAGTGCGGTCCGAATAATCGCTCTCGTCCTGAGACGTGAGGGCGGGGGCATCTGCCTGAGGGGTGATCAGGGAGACGCCCAACATGCCAAGATTATTGGCCGCAGCCGCCATCTGCGTACCGACCTTGAACATTTTATCCAGATATTCCAAGGTATCTCGGTCCCGGGGCAGCGGGGGCAGAGGACGTATACCCTCCGCCCAACCAGCCGCCCGCGGAAGTAGATGGGCCGCTAGGCTCACATCGAGGGGGGGCACACCTGGACATCTCGTGTCCGAGCGATCCACCACCTTAATGATACCCGCCATGGCGGCTATCGGGGCCTTCGTTCTTAATGGCTGCTGCCATGTCGCCTCCACACACCGCCATACCTCTGGCAGCTGGGGTGAAACGAAGGTCGGCTGCGCCGGACGCACCGGGCCGTAAAACCCCAATCTCAGGCGGTTTACAGGCCTCGGTGGCAGCGGTGGGGGGAGCGGTAAACCTACACGCTCCGCCGCCAGAGTCATCACCGCCGGGAAATCCCTCCGCGCAGACCTGAGAGCTGGACCTGAAAGCTGGACCTCCGGTCAGCGAGGCGTCCTCCTCGTCCTCCATCGGAACCGAGCCCGTCTGGTCCCATGGAAGAGAGGACCGGAACGACGTCTCCTCGCTCTCCGAATCGCCCACGTCCACGACGTCGAGCTCCCGATCCTCCGACTCCTCCTGCGGGGTAGCCCTCGCCAGGGAGTGCTGCCCACGATGCTCCCGTATCATTTATGAGAATTTCATTTCAAACCTTTATTTATCCAGGTTGTATCCCATTGAGATCATTGATCTCTTTTTCAAGGGAGACCTGCTCAAGTAGGTTCCACATGAAACATTAAAAACATAAACAGAGCAACAAAAGGACATCATACAGTATCATTACAGGGATTACAATTTACATAACTATCCACATGAACAGGTACCAACAGCTTCCGATTCAGTAGCATCCAACCGAGCTTTAAAAACATTTAGTGGCACCAGATTGCTCAGTTTCCATTTCAATTATTGAAATATAATTAATTATTAGAATACATGTCATAACATTAAGACAACATATTCAAGGTGGTTTTCAATAACATATCCGTATATTTATTTCTCCAAGTTAGGTTTTTGCGTGCACTGAGGAGCAGGGACGTGCACAGACATTTTGGGGGGCGGGTGCTCAAGTGAGAAAAAGGGCACTTCCCATAATCATTTATAAAAAAATTATGTAAAACAAAAAGTTAAATATAGTTGCACATCCAGTGGCGGCCGGCCCATAGGGGCGCTAGGGGCGCCACCCCCCCTCTTCCCACATTAAAAAAATAAATAAATTAAAAAATATATATTTAAAAAATATATTTTTTATTTTTATTTTTATTTTTAATAAACAAGGTAAATATTATATAATTGGTATCAGTAAAATGTATAATCTACAATAAAATCTCGTTTAAAATTGCGTTACGATGTCTAAAGTTACTGATAAGTCACATGTTTCCTGCCTGGCCTTGCCCGTGTATCATTACCCTCTCTCGTCTGGGCGCTATGCAGAGCGCCCAGACGAGAGTGCAGCAGAAGCCAACTGTTGCTATCTTTAAACTATGCCGCCGAAACATAATTTCAGCCAATCAGCGTCGTCAAATCTGATGGTCACAGGGGCGCCTACGTCGGCGCCCGGTGCAATCTGTGAGTTGTTTGGACTCGTATCCAAGGAGACAAAACAGGAAGCTGTCATACACTCTGGAAGCTATCATTAGCAGCTATTATGAAAACTCCGTTTTTGACATAAAAATTGAATTATGGATTATCAATAATTTGTTCAAAGTGACAGACACATTGGATTAACCTATGGATTAACCTTCAGCCGCGTTTTTCTCGTTTTTGATCAGAATAACAGCAAAAAGTGAGCATATCTCCGTGTTTTGCTACCTAAAGCTACGTTGTGTGATGTCTGTATTTGCTTCCCCTGTCGCGAGTTCTGATCGCTCAGTGATGATACTTATATTTCTAGAATCTGTGGAATCTCAGCTTGTTAGCTAAGCTTGTTTGTGCATATCCGATAAGTATATCGATTGATTTATACCTAGAGTGCGTTAGCATTTTTTCGCTCAGGGCTCATTTAGACGCTTCTTGTGAGACTTGTGTTTTGTTTCGGTAAACATATTAGCCACTCGCGGACAAAAATGTCCCATTGACTCCCATTATAACCACATCTTTTGATCTCTCTGCCATACCGGTATATAATCATGCATTTTGTAATGTCAGGGTTTTATTTTGGAGGAAAATAGTTCAATTTGTCCTTTTTACTGTATATCACCAGATGTGTTGAATTACATGCTTGTCATTTCTTGGTTTCTGAGTCTGTTGTATAATGGGGCCCTGCCAGCCATTGAAATACATGTATGTGTAACCCCGGTGTAGTGTCCCCTCGGCAACAGATCACTCAGAGCTGGTGATTACTTCCGTTTATTTCCTGCGTTTCAATGGACAACATAAAAAGGACACGTGAGCTGCGTTCTGTAGGAGAAATAGCACCACGCTCACATTAGCTTATTAGCTCAGATTAGCTATTGATGATTACATTAATAAATCATATAAAACAAATAGCCAATCACACAAAAACATGTGGCTGTGAGCATTAAACGACTAACATTAAACTAAACAAACACAATAGAACGATATTGTCCTAATAAAATAAAAACATACATTTTGTCCACCGACATAATACAATAGCACCTTACTCTCAAGAGATCCTCACGCGCTATGAGAATCTCCCACAATCCATTGCCGTAACAAAGCTACAGTAATGCAGGCACACGTTTAGAATAGAATAGAATAGAATTGGGAGGGATGAAACCCTCTTTAATGGTCACACATGCAGAGCACACAGCACACACAGTGAAATTTGGCCTCTGCATTTAACCCATCCTAGTACCAGGAGTCTAGTACTAGGAGCAGTGGGCAGCTATTGTACAGCGCCCGGCATCTGGTGTTACGTTTTACACCAGATGGCGTAATTCTCCAATTTAACCAGGATTTTACACCAACCTTTATAACTCTGTTACATATGCAACTAATATGATGTAGGTGTGTTAGTATGGATGTGGAAGAGTGGTATCAGCTGATAAATGTGTGTGTTTGTGTGTGTGTGTCTGTATGTACAGTGTGTGTGTACAGAGACAACAATATACAGTAGATTTGGTTTAAAGCAATTCGCAGTTTTCGCCTCATATCTCTTTCTCTCTCTCTCTCTCTCTCTCTCTCTCTCTCTCTCTCTCTTTCTCTCTCTGTCTCTTTTTCTCTCCCTCCCTCATTCCCAAACTCATACACACTCGTACATATTAAACCTCCTTATACCTTGTATGTGTGTGTGTGTGTGTGTGTGAGTGAGTGTGTGTGAAAATGAGACAGGAGTAAGTATGCTCTCATGGCATTTTGTTTTTCATTTGTGCTGTTTCATGTGTCTTTGAGGTAAACAGATGTATGATCTTGACCCAGCTTGACCTCGATGTTTTGAATTGTTTGGAACTTCAAAGTCCTTTGAAAATGTCTCTTTAGCAAACAGACATACACAGCCATGCATGCACTCCTTCATGTAAATAAAAACACCTGGCTGCAAAGCCAAAGATTCAAATATGTATAGTTTGGCTGGCTGGCCATTTCATTCCTGTGATACGGAAGAAGCAGGTAAGATGAAGAGGCGCTTCTCTGTGGGACAGGTGCCACATCAAAGGGATTTGGAAGCGGGACTAAGGTTTATGGGGGTCATAAATCACTCTCTTATCAGGTACTTAATCTCATTTTGACCAAAACAGTGGTCTTTCAACTACTGTCAATGTTTGTAGTTGACAAGACTTCTCAGATTGCCCGTATCTATGCAGAGGTTAATTGGTAAAAGCTACAGTTTGTGTGTCTTATTTTGATGGAAATCTTATTGAGAGATTGTTTGGCAATGTGTGTTTAAGGAAAAGCACAATACACTTTAGATAAGAATTTGACATAATCACTGTGAAGTCAGTGGATTGCAGAATAAGCCTTGAGTTTGGCATTTGGACTATTGACATATTGTTTTTTTTTAACCAGATATGACACGAGAGGCTGAAGCTAAGTATAACCCAACACTGAAACAAGACATTTTACAATACACCTTAATTAACTAACTAAAACACTGTAAAAGGGATTAAGGTCTTAAGGCCACTACACACCCACCTGAGACCAAAGAACGCGTACCGAAGGGGTCCCGACTTTTACGTCGCCTGCGTCGGCTACGCCGCCCGCTACGCCGCCCGCCTACGAACACACCGCAAATACTTCAGTCGACGAGTGGCAATAACTGTCCTTACAAGCAGGCAGCGGTAGTGTGAACAGCCAATCAGAGTGATTGCTTGGGCCGACTTTCTGTGACCTCCAGAGGTCAGAGAAAGAGAAAGGTGTGAAAAGGTGCCGTAAAGAGACAACGGTGCGGGACAGACCAACCTGAGCAGGGCACCGCGAATGCCCGACTGCCTCTGACGGCCTCTGACTCCCAAAATCGGGTTGGTGTGTAGCCAGCTTAAGGAGAGGAAGCCATGCAAGTCCTTTATTGTGTATGTACTGTAAATGGGACCATAGATTACTAAAGGAACATCTTGCTGTACATTAAAAATGTGTTTTGAAACTACAAACTCGTTAGGAAAATGTTTAAAACAAATTGAGATAATGAACATTTAATAGACTTTTGTTAGCTTATCTTTTCAAAACCAAGGGTTGCCACTTCATTTGCCCTCAAGCTAATGCAATTTTGTGAAATGTTTCTGATTATTGACATTAGCTGTTCTTGTTTGACTTTGGTTTATATTTGTTTTTTGTTGGAAATGTCACCCCTGAATTGAAATCCAGTACTCATAAAACAGTACATCTACACTGGGAGTAGATAGACAATAATAAACACACTGTTGCATCACAAAATGTTCAATATTTTATTGATTGAGCCTTGACATCTCACATCTCGCATGTTGTTTTCTTTCTCCCTCGGCTTCTCCTTGTGTCTCACTCTCAGCCTCTCTTCTGCTGCCTCTCTCTTCGACACTTCCCACCGCCGCCTCCTGTCTCCTTCAATTTCAATCTCCCTCTGATTTCCCCTCTCCTGTAGTTCTGTGATGGGAGATCACAGCCTAGGAGTATGTGGAGAGAATATCGTTGATCCAGGGCATCAGAGAGCAGACTTTGGTGTAAACGCCCGGGTAGTTGGGTTGAGCGCAGCCCTGGCCCCAGGACACGACACCCTGCAGCTCTCCGTTACACACCAGAGGACCACCAGAGTCACCCTGAGCAGGAGAGAGACATCAGTTTATTCCCTCCACCTCATTCAATATAACCTCATTGTATGTGCCGTGTAATTGTTTGAAGATACCTGACAAGCATCCTTTCCTCCCTCCAGGTATCCAGCGCACACCATGCGGTCAGTGATCAGGCCGGGGTAGGAGCCATCGCAGTCCTTGTGAGAAAGGATGGGGACTTCCACACACTGGAGGTAAAACGGGTTGAAGACTGCAGATAAGAACAAGACAACACGATTAGGAGCGACACAAAAAACACCCCTATTCAGCCTTATATCATGTGTTAAAATGCACCGATGTATTAGTGACTCCAGACTATCAGAAACATGCATTTATTGACTGTACTGTTTATAGCATCACTCTATTCCAGCTTGATTTCTCAATTTACTTGTTTTCTGTAAATATGTGTACCTTAAATGGGCAACATCACCATCTATTTGGTTTTAAATAATCTACCATAAGTGCTATCATACTACAGTAACCATAACTAGGTAGGACAAGCCTGGCGAGCTATGGATTTTGAATACTATATAGTCATTTCATGCAGTATGTAGCCATCAAGTGCATTGCCAACATTATACTGGCTTCACTCGCTTTTTAGGATGGTTCTTAACTGAGGGAAATGATCCAGCAGCCATTATAAAAGCTGGGCGAATCCTTTTGAACGCTAGGGAAAGGTGCTTTAATGTTTCCTCTCATCATAGGGTGAGCTACAATATTCTGTTTGCCATCAAGCAAACTTTATACATCATGTTTGCTCTCAAATGCATTCTTATGAGACAATCTTAAGCATTAGATGATTGCTTACTGTTATCATCGTGTCTTTGTGCCTGATATATTTTCTATTTCATCAAAAGTTTGAGAATTTTTTGTGACAGTAGATATGGTTGTTGGTTGCAGGTGACGAAGTCCACTTTAAGTACGTTTTAGTTAATAACAGCAGTTAAGAAACTACTGTTTATTAATACTTAATGGTTTGTTAAAGGCTTTTGTTATAATACGTTTTAAAGCTATGGAAGGCCATGAGTGCAATATTTTACCCTTTTTTTTCTTCTTGTAGTAATCTCAACCACAGCAAAGACAAACAATAGGATCACAACAGAATAAAAATAATTGTACCATGACCCATTGATGACCTTTAATGTGAGGATCAGGCACACCTCACCTTGATCAGTGTAGATGTTTCCCCATCCGGACACCATGCACATGTCCCCGGCTGCAGGGCAGGCCTTGGGCAGAGCGACGGGCTTCACGTACTGGTTCACGGTGACGGGGTGCGCCAGCTTCATCAGCATGATGTCGTAGTCCAGGGTCTGGTAGTCGTAGCTCTGATGCCAGTAGATGGCGTCCACGGACATGAACTGCTCCGTGCCCTCGTTCATCCAGATGTGGTTGTCACCCAAAATGGCAATCAGTGAGTAAGGGCTAAGAGAAGATACACAGAACAACATTAGCATAGTTTCTTTAACACACAGAACAGACAAAAACATTTGTATATGTTAATATAAATACTGCCTGCTACAGTCAGACTGTACAGTCACTCAATTATACGGATTCTAACACACTGCTCTGCAATAACACTTATGTACAATATTTACTATTGTACACCACCTCACTACCTCAGACTGTTTCACTACTGTTAAAGGGATGATTGTGCTATGTGTAATATACACTGTTTACGTTTTACACACTATAAATGTTGTCCATTGCTGCTACCTATTTACTACTATTACTTTTTTATAATGCTGCTACGTATTTTTGTTCCATGGATGTTTACTCATTTGATATCCTTTTATTAATGCCTCTTTATTTAATATGTTACTCTGCTAATCCTATTTATGCCTTTTGTCTGCACAGTCCCTTAGCTCTAAAACTGTATATCTCCCCGCTGTGGGACGAATAAAGGATTTCTGATTCTGACAACACCGACTTTTGCCAGCAGTGGGCAGCAGAGACTATCCACTGGTCGTTGATGAGGGAGCCGCCGCAGTAGTGGTAGCCGAGATTGATAGACACCTGCCAGGGCTGAGAGTGGGCTGTACACTCGAATCCACCCACAATCTTGTCATCCATAGGTGCTGCAGCTGTGGTGTTAAGCAATAACAAGAATCCATATATTTATCAAAGTTACATTTCTTACTTATTCTAAAATTGTTGTGCAGATGTGCTTTACCTGCAGCGCCCAGGAGTGCGAGAACAATCAGGCCAATCATCATTACTCAAGCCTTCCTGCGACCAGACTGGAGGTGAAAGATCTGTCACTCACTCAATTTATACCCTCTGTATCTGTCAATAAACTCCCTCCTACTCCACTCCTCCATATTTCCACACAATTCTACCCACCTGCCCCCCCTGGTTTATCCTCCCACCCAAATCCCTGAAAAATAACCTTATCTTCTTATGTGCCACGTTCATCCGTTCAGTTAATAAGTGAGCCACATCTTGCATAGTTTTGGCCTTGCAGACTGCTTTCCATACTCTATTTTTGACAGATAATTTTCTGCACCTACCACCTATTTTTTTTAAGTGGTGTGTAACTCCCTTTTTTTTTAGCAGACATTTTTTATTTCATAATGGTGGAACATAAGAGCAGAGATCAGCATTGTTAAACACTTTTTTGTTCACGAGCCACATTCATCCCAATTTTATCTCAAGTGGCGTGGACGAGTAAAACCATTGCATGATAAATAACAACAACTCCAAATGTTTCCCTGTATTTTAGTGTAGGCCTAAAGAAGTGCATTACAATTCTGAAAATGGTCAAAATAAATGCCTTTGCAAAACAGAGGACAAACAGCCTGAGGTTATATTGTAGGGGCAATTGCAACAATATGTGTCTGATTTTCCATATTCAGTCTGTCCAGTTACCATCATTGCATGTGCATTACAATTTACAGCTCAACGTGGATCTACAAAAGCACAAAATGTTTAAGCTTAAAGGGTGTTGATTGCTGTCTGACACAGAAACAGAAAAAACAAGTTGTTTTAGGTTTCAGAGACAACAGATGATTTATTTCTCACCTCTCTGGCTTTTACTCAAGGACATCTTTTTTCCTGCTGTATGGGCCAAGAGCTAAAAGACGGTTATAAAACAGTTTTCACTGTTTGATATTGTAGCCTGCCAACAATGAGTGACCCATGAGAAACCAAAAGCAGGTGTTTCATGTTTGGAGACCTTGATCCAAATTTTAAATAAGGGGCACAGATGACATAACCACGGGGTGTTGTGCTACGATTGGGCCGAAGTGGGCAAACACAAAATGAGGTGTGTGATAAGAAAGTATATTTGGGTTGAAACTGAGTGCCAAGACTGTGAGGACACAGATTGGGTCCAGAGAAATAGGGAGGAGAGGAGAGGAGAGGAGGAGACGGGGGGGCTGTGAGGTGAGGTGAGGGGGACGGGACGAGCACTGTGGGGCTGCTGGGATATAAATTTGAGCCGAGGTGTGTGTGGAGGTGTCTTCTGAGCATTCACCTGACACCATGACACTGCTGGCTCTGCTGCTGCTGATCGGAGCTGCTGGTAAATACACAGTAATACACACATTCACAAAGATACACACACCAACAGTAAACAGTACATAGAAAACAGACTGTAGTGTAAGATATTTAAGAAATAAGATGAATGGTTGTGGTTGAAGATAACTTTAAAACACAAATGTATCTTATTCTCTGTGTGTGTGTGTGTGTGTGTGTGTGTGTGTGTGTGTGTGTGTGTGTGTGTGTGTGTGTGTGTGTGTGTGTGTGTGTGTGTGTGTGTGTGTGTGTGTGTGTGTGTGTGTGTGTGTGTGTGTGTGTGTAACAGCGGCAGTTCCCCGTGAAGATGGCAGGATTATTGGCGGTTATGAGTGTTCGCCTCACTCTCGTCCATACATGGCCTCCCTCAACTACGGGTACCACTTCTGTGGAGGGGTGCTGATCAACAACCAGTGGGTGCTCTCTGTTGCCCACTGTTGGTACAAGTAAGTAAGCATTGATGGGAAAAATATTACTTTCAAATATTGTACATGTTGATGTGTAACATGTACATTTTTTGTACAGCTTATTTTGCTCGACATGTATGCATTTATTTTCTTTATGAAAGAAAATATAGTGTAGTCTTTGGAAAATTGAGAGATGAAGTGTTGTAGAGATATGAGAGAACAGAATATTGAAAGCTTTCACTGCTTCCACAGATTTCTATAACATTGTACCTCCTCTCTCAGTCCCTATTCCATGCAGGTCATTCTGGGCGATCACAACTTGCGAGTGTTTGAGGGAACAGAGCAGCTCATGAAGACCGACACCATCATCTGGCATCCTAGGTGAGTGAAAAAAATAAATAATCTTCTTCCCTTTGAATACCCTAAATCGCATCTGAGCCATTCATCCGGTCGGTGCAGAGGAACAGCTGCCGTCTAAAGCGTGTGTTGTATTTTCTGTATGCAGCTATGACTACCAGACTCTGGATTTCGACATCATGCTGATCAAGCTGTACCACCCAGTGGAGGTGACGGAGGCGGTCGCCCCCATCCCGTTGCCCACAGGGCGTCCCTATGCAGGGCTTTCCTGCTCTGTGTCCGGCTGGGGTAACACCAACCTTGGAGGAGAGGGTGGGTTGATTATTATGTGTTGTATTGTACAGCTTAACAACAGACTTAAAGGTCACCTATTATGCAAAATCCACTTTTTCATATCTTTTATACATCAACATGTGTCCCCTCTGTGGAAAGAGATTCTGAAAGTTTCAGGAAAAAAGATTCTCTCACTTTTTGTCCTGATCCATTTATATAAAAACCTGTCTGAAAATGAGCTGATCAGATTTTGGCCACTTTATGATGTCATTACGAATTTTTTGTCTTGTGTAACCATTAGCCAATCACCAACCAAGGTAACCCCCCGCCACCTTTTCACCTGAATCTCCTCCTAGAGCACCATTGAGTTCTTTTTAACCAAATATCTCTCAGAGGGGCGTGGGGAGGGGCTCCTTATTTTCATCTAAGGCCCCGGCTCCACGAGGACAAATACGGCAAAACGCATCGGAGAAACGCAAATGCAACCACAAAAAACCTTCCGTCCCCACGCAATATACACCGGATTGTGTCAAGCTCCACGAGACGGCTCCGTTTACATCCAAACGCTGGAAAAGCTACAGTACATATGCCGAACCTGTACGTGGCGCTGTAACTTCCTCCACAAAAGCAGCAACTTCCTCCACAAAATCAGCGAAGAAGAATGGTTGTCATGGCTGCACTTCTGTGTATTCTCCGCGGTGGGGGCCGACAGAACCGGGCAGAGTTTTTCGCCGGTCAGCGTGTGTTAAAGTTGAAATCTTCCGGACAAAATTATAAAAGTGCCGGTCAAAGGTCTTCATTGTTATTTATTGAGCTTTAAAACAAATGAATAACGACTATATAATGATATATAATCATCAAATACACAGAGCCTGTCTCTTTTTCCTCTCTTCTCACAGCGTCAGTGTCTGTCTCATGCAGCAGCTGATCCTGTAATGAGTGACCCGACAGTAAAAATGAACATATTTATAACTAGTTTAGGTAGTTTGAGAGGTAATTAAAATAGCTAAGGGTGATGATCTGACTTGAACTGTGTGTTTTGCTCCCGCTGCATCACAGCGGCAGGAGCTGCGTGTCTCCGTCCTGTCAGATTAGACTTCACTCGCGTTTATGTCCATATCGAGATAAAGATAAATAATCTGAATTCAAGGAGGAGCTCCTGTAGATGTTGCACAAAGAACTGTAGCATGGTCAGTAGCGACTGGAGCACGATAGCAACCCTGCGGGGGAGAGGCGGGGAGAGGCGGGGCTATAAAAAGAATGACCGTATAGGCGACTCCACGGCCCCGTTGGACCCCCCAGAGCGCTCTGTTCCCAGATCTATCCACCTTTGGACCCGTTGTCGTTTGCGGGGTCTGTTTCTACGTTTCCCTTACGGCGTCGTGGAGCTTAGAGGGCTATACGCATGAGAAATATGTGGATTCAACCAGTTTTCGTCCTCGTGGAGCCGGGGCCTAAAGTAACAGACAGAGAATCAGCACTTTTGAAACAGGGCTGAAACAGAGGGGATTATGGGATGCTACAATGATCTGTTTGCTATTTCCAGCCAAACACTTCACAGACATGTTTTTTATCTGAGACCTGTAATATATTGATGAAAAACAGTATAATAGGGGACCTTTAATGAGACCATCCCAGTGAACAGATCATGATGTTGTTTTCAAACCATTCATTTCCCCAGGTCAAAGCTGGACAGCAAGGTTTAACAGTGTTTTTCTTTCCATACAATCCTCCACTGGGGGTGTCAAAGTTGACCTTTTAAGCTTAACTGAGTCTGGCCAGAGTCTGTATTTCTTTCTCACTGTCAAAAAGTCCATGAAAAGCTCAAATGCAGCAGTGAATTTATTGTTAAAAAAAACAAAAAAACAAGTCAAAGTCTGATAAAGCTTTTCTTGTGCGTCATTGACCTCCGTTGTTTTCCAGAAACTTCACTGAATCACATTGTGCTTTATAGATTTTTAACAAAGGTACATTTAATTGAAGGTAATCGGCCTGCAAGCTGTTACCTTCAAACTAAACATGTGTAAAAGTGCACTTTTTGATGTATTTTATACATAAATATGTGTCCCTGGTGTGTCAGGGAACTCACGCAGCGTCAGAAAATAAAACCCTTTCTCTTTTCCTCCGTACCCAAATCTCTAAAAACTGGGATACAACGGAGCTGATCCAGATTTGCGGCCGATATGACGTAATATCGGCAGCGGACCCACAGCACTATCAGAAACGTTGCTATCAGAAACAATGCCTGACTGTTTTGGACGTAATATGGTCGGTGAAATAATCCTTGATCTAATAATCCTTGCGTTTCATCACCGCAGCATTTTAGACAGTATCTGCCAGGTCCCGCATAAGCTCCGCCCCCTCTTATTTTTTTATTATTTTTCAGTTTAAAAAAGAAAAATAATCATTTATTTTTTCTTTAATACAGGTGAAAATCTCATCGAGACACAGTGTCATTCTCAAGAGAGACCTGTTTATACCCAGAATCAGCACTTTTGGAACAGGAAGAGAACTAGAGGGATATGAGGCATGGCTAGACATGTTTTTTATATTTTTTTTATATATCTGAGACCTATGCTATTGCCTAAAAATAGCATAATAGGTGACCTTTAAAATTCTACTTCACTACATTTAAAAATCTTCTATCTTCTAAAGTTTTCTATGACGTCCTCTGTTGCGTGTGTTACAGTTTACATGCCCACCCTCCTGCAGTGTTTGAACGTGCCCATAGTGGACCAGCAGGTCTGTGAGAACGCCTATCCC